GAATACTAGGAAACATTGTCAAATGTCACTAGGAAAGGACTGTAGCCTAAGAAATGTATCTACAGCCAAGACATCCTTTGCAACAGTGAAAGATATTTGCAGACAGTCAAGGACTAGAAGGTGAGCACGTACTGTTGGAAAGAGTCTTGGGATATAACTAGAAAATGAATTGATGTCCACCTATGAACATGATGAAGTAACAGGAACCAGCCCTAGCCTTCTGTCTGATGCACACAAGTATCAGGACAGAATATGTGTGAGACCTTTGTCACTCTCCCTGTGTGGCACTCTCCCATCCTGTCCTCTGTCCTTCAAGCTCTCACTAACACCAATTCCTCAGACTCCCATCATGGCCCTCTTGAGGTGTTTGCTGGGTTCAGGCAGCCACACTCCCTTGGCTGTTCGCTGGGTCACCACGTGATTCATCTTCTCAAATAGCTGTAGCCTGATAGTATCACAAAGGTCTCAGAAGGTCACTGTTGAGGTTTCAGCTGAATACTAATCAAGGCATGTCTCCAGGGAAACCACCACAGCTGGAGAAAGATGTGCCTGGGGGCAGGGTAGGAATGAGCTTTGAGGATCACACCCGCCTGGAACTAGGTTTCCACCAAGCCAGTTCTGGAAAACATTATAATTCACAAAAGTCTCAGAGTTTGGCCTAAGTATTGGGAAGAATTAGCTCTGGACTAACACTGTTCTGTCTCGGAGAAAGCATAAAATCAGGCTTCAGGAAACCCAACCAATCAATCAAACTGCTTCAAGCAACTTCATTACTAGAACAAAGCTCAAAAACAATTAGGCAAATATTAATATTTCCAGCACGCAAGTAAAATTCATAAAGTAAAATTCTGGCATTTGATTAAAAAAAATTAATAGTTACTGGTCAAAGTGCCAAGAACAAGTGATTGGGAGGCCTCAGACTTAAATGAATCTCACTGTCTCTCCCTCTATGGGTTGTGGAATATGGGGCAGAAAGATTGTAAGAGCCAGAAGTTGAGAAATCTTGATGTAAAGCAATGTCTTGTGGTGGTGACAGGACTGTTGCATCTGTTTCCATTCATTCAGTAAATGTCTGAATTAGTGTGATGGATTACATTGTCAAACAGACGGAACACAGTATCCTTTAAAAGGAAACCCTCCTAGCACATCTGTGAAGAACTATCTAACTGTGTTAGCCTCTGGGCTGCCTATGAGGAAGTTTCTTAATTAGGTTAAGTGAAATTAGAGGACTTATCCTAAACATAGGGGGCGCCACTCCATCAGCTTGGGACCTGGCCTGCATAAAAGATTCATTCATCACCCTCAGAAAGAACTTCGAGATGAGCCAGGCATGGTGATGAACACCTATGGTCCCAGCACTTGGGAAGGCAGAGACAGGCTAAACTCTGTGAGTTCAAGGCCACCCAGGTCTACAAAAATGAGACCAGGACAGCTAAGGCTACACAGAGAAAACTTGTCTCGAAAAAACAAAAAAAGAAATCAGAGATGTAGATTGTTAGCCATGACCACTACCCTTAAAAAGAATTTGCAGAAATAGATTCTTAGTAAGGTTAGATTAAGATGTTTTTGTTAGTGGCTTCCGTGTAAAAAATCATGGGGAACAACTTAAAGTTCAGAAAGGTACCCTCTTAATAGATGAGCTGGGACTTTTTAGGCCAGAGAATCAGAACAATGAAGGCCTGCCTGGCACTAGCTGATGTGACTCTCTTGCCGGAGTTGAGATGGTGATCAAGATGATGATTAACTTCTTGTACCTATTTTGCCCTCAGCTATCAGAAGTCAGTGACTATTTACAAGAAAACTTGATCGTGACTTTTAAGACCAAGCATGTCCCCGGATCAGAAGGCATGTGACTGTGGTCTGTGCCACCCTCGTTCTGCATTGCCTCCGCCCTCATCTGAACTGAAAGCCTCATCGTGATGAAGCCAGCATTGAGTTATAGATCACAGAGTTTATGGTCTGACGTTCTGTCCGTATTTGGAGAGAAGCCCTTATAGATAGAGTTAAAGGGTGGTCACTGCCGGAGTGGGCTGTAATTCAGTCTGACTGATATCCTCTGTAAAGACACCCATGTGGGGACAGAGCTACATCAAGATGAAGGTAGATATGTTTTGATGAGCCAAGAAACACTGCCAGAAAGCACTGGAAGCAAGGGTCGGGCGTGGGCGGATCTTCCTTCACTGTCTTCAGGAGGAACTGAAGCCACTTACATACTGGGGACTTCAACCGCCAGAACTGAGAATCGATCTGCTGTTGAAGCCAAGCGATTTTGGTAACCTTGGAAACTAATATAGACAACAATCATTCCTTCGCCATTTTGGACATTTGTATCTATAGATTAGCACAGCAAACTGAGACAAAGAGTTAACTTTAAATTTATTAAATTAAAAAAAAAAAAAAAACAAACCTTGCTGTGTGGACATGAAAAGAAGCTGAGGTTCCTGCCCCCCTGAAGATCCCACCCCACAATGAGAAGACAGAGAAGACAATTCAGTGTGTAGTTAACACCAGGCCAGGGACACAGGAGGTCAGTTACTCCACAGTGGGGGCCAACCTCCTAACTCAGATGGGGTATGAAGTGCGGGCAGCCATCCCAGAACGCTGAGGCCTGAGTCTTTCAATACAAGTTAGGTCAAGCAGAAAAGAGAATTGGAGCAGAGGTTACTGACTGTGGCTCTGAGAGGTTTGCTGAAGAGATGAGTGGGAACCTATCAGCAGAGGCCTTACACTAGCATGCTGAACCCGGAAGCCAATAGTGGATTTATAGTAAAGAGACATGGATGGTCAGCCCTCAGCATTAGAGACGTTCCCCCATTTTGTGGACAGTGTAAGTTGGAGGGAATCTTAATCAACCCAAAAACCTCAGGAGGGGGCTGAAGTCCCGGAAGCTGGCCTCACAAGAGAAGGCAGTGGCACAGAAAGGAGGAGCTGCCCACTGCCCATCCCGCTTTGCTGTTTCTACGAGCTGTCCTATCTCTTCAGCAGATGTGATGTGCCACTGTATTTAAATCCAAGCTCCTCATTCCCTCCTAGAATTGGACCTTAATTCTTGGAAGTTGGTGCAAAACCACATGTCTATCATCATTCCTCAAAGCCACGAGCTTGACGCACACAGTTCTGAGGGGAAAGCCAAGTACATCTGTACGATGTTTCTGTTCCCATTTACACTTTTCTGCTTTGTGCAAAGCTCTGAGATTGTCAGAGGGACTCCAAGGACAGGGGGGATCCCAGAGGACATAGGCCACTGCAGCACCACCCTCCCACTGGAGACAGGAGAGGGAACTGGGGATTCTCCATCTCAGAAGCTCTCTCCCACAGAGAGCTAAATGAGATGCAGGGTTGTGCCTATAAGTATCATCATCTATTTGAGTCGAGGCCTCTTGGTCATGTTATTTCTTTTTTTTAACTTTTTATTGGTTCTTTTTGAGTTTCCCATCATGCACCCTAGTTCTGCTCATCTCCCCAGCCCCTCATATCCATCCTTCACCCTTGCAACGTCTCCCAGAAAGTAAAAAAAAGAAACACATAAATAAACAAACAAAACAGAAAAGCAGAGAAAACATCTCATCGCAGAAGCTGTAGTATGATCACAGTGTGTCCCACAGTGTATCCCTTTGTCCACACATCTTCACTTGCAAATGTTCATTGCAGTGAGTCATTGGTCTGGTTCCAGATCTCTGGCTTCTGTGACACCATCAATATTGGATCTTCACTGGGCCTCCTTCTAATTATCTTGTTGTTGCCCTGTGTCATGGAGATCCTGAAGCTTTGGGTCAGCAGGACTGACTGGTCCTTTCACACATCCCAACTGTTCATAGATTGTATATATTTTGAGGTGGGCCAACTCAGGACCTTAGATCTGGGCTTGGGTGGTAGCTGAACTGGTCAATGCTGGCTCTCCCTTATCTGCACCACCAGGGAGAGCTCTCCAGTATTGCTTCAGCTAGGCCACCCACTGCTGCCATCAGCAAGAAGAAGGGTCAGCTCTCCTGCTCTTAATGTATTCAGGGTCTGCTTATCCATACCCACACCTCCAGAACCAGCTCCACAGTGCTGCCCAATCAAGGCGTGGAGCCCACTCTCCCAAGTGCTTCGGCATGTGAGGAGCTGGGCCAGATCTCCTGCTATCACACCCTCAGGGATGGTTTACTTGTGCCTTCACCATCCGGGCCAGCTTTACTGTGTTATCAAGGCAAGGTACAAGGCCCACTCTGCAGAGTGCTGCAGCCAGTAAGGAGCAGGGCCAGCTTATAGGCTTTCATGACCCTTGTGGGTCAGCTCTCCTGACTGCCTCAGGGCAAAGCATCACCTCTGTGCCTGTGCTATCCCAGACAAGTGACAGGACCGGCTCTTCCACACTCAGACCCTCAGGCTAGCTCACCCACACCCCAGATAACAGGGCTAGCTTCACTGTGCTGCCTGGGAGAGGTGCAGTGCCTGCTCTCCTGAAGTGCTGCTGCTGGAGAAAGGTGGGGTCAGCTCTCCAGAGTGCCTCAGCCAGGGAAGGGTGGGGCCAGGTCTGCACAGTTCCTGACATCCACATCCTTGCCAGGGAAGTTCCAATGTTCCCTAGTGGTAATATGAGCCACAGACATCAATACCAACCCTGGCCATTTCACAGCCATGGACCCAGACATGGCCCTTAGTGGCAGCTAGGGATGGGACCTCACCATGGCCCCACATGGCAGGACTGGCCATTCAAAACAGGCAATTCTTCTCCACCCTCGAGTCTCCAGTTTCATCTCTCTTCATACTGCTGAAGCTGCTCTACTTCTCTTTCTCTCCCAACTGATGACCACATGCTTGCCCATCACGGTGGCTCCCACTGTAGACTGGTCGTGGGGCCAGTTGGTCCCTGGATGACATCCTCCAGCAAGCGGGTGTCTACAGATGGCCTCTGCCTTACAATAGAGAGCATGTCTGTAAGTATGCCACCTAAAGTGATTCTCAGGTCTCTGTCTTTCTCCTCCTGTGCTGCACTGCCTGGATTTGATTTTATCTTATATATCCTAGGCATAAAACAGCTGTGACCACCAACCCAGGCATCAAACTAGGATGAACAAAGGACTACCATCTGCTTTGCCCTGACTGATATAAGACCACCACCACCAACAAGGTGTCTCTTTGCTCATTGCCAGGGACGGTTGGTATTTTTTTTATCACCTTCTAGAGAATATATGGGTGTCTTGAATGCTATCTCAAGACAGAAAAGCCAGGAGATAAAACTTATTATGATGGGCAAGCAAACATTATTGAGTACCCACAAAGCTATGCTCAACAGGCCAGTGAGAGCCCTGGTCACCCCTGAACCCATCAGTGGGGCTTCTGCATCTGGAAATACCTGGCCTTGTGGAAGCCAATGAGGTGGGTGTGTTTCAGCACTGTGGGCATTTGCAGAACCCATTTGTCCCTATAGACCCCAAATGTCAGAGGACTCACTTGCTGACCTTTAGCTGATGGCAGGGGCTGATGTTGACATTTGCACAAGCACTGGCACATGTCTCACTGAGTTGTCCTTCAGGGGCACAGCAGGACAGCTGCTGAACTGGTGGTTTACCACAGAGCAAGCCACTTACCACCAGTGTGGAAAGAACTGGAGATTGACTGAGTGGAATTTCCCTGCTGTTCTAGGTGGGCTTTGATGGGCTTATCTCTACTTCCTCTCCCAGACCTTTGGGTGGTACTGCCACTGATGCAATAGAAATCAGACATCCTGCTCCACTATTGGTAGATGCTGAATTTCAGCAGCGGGAGGCGGAGGCTGCCTGTTCTTAGAAGGATACACATTAGAGGCAAAGGCAGGGAGGGTGTGGGCAATGTCGGCCTCTCTTCTTCCTTCCGCTGACCCTGAGAATCTGCTCTGTGCAGAAAAATGTTGAAGCCTCATCTCCCTCCCCTTACCAGGGCATTACTGGGGATCCAGTAAGTCATAGTTGAAGCCCCAGGAGAATTAAAAGGGAAAGACAGAAAGTTGGGGTTCACAGACTGCCTTCACACACCTTCGTCAGTCACTGCAAAGCATGACATTAGGCAGGGAGTTCAAGGCTAAAGCTGGATCCCACTCACAGCCCTCTGCAAGCTTGTCTTGTGCCACTGCATCTGCTATAACCAAGAGAGCTTGCAACAACAGATAGGCATCCTGTCCCAGTCAGCGTGAGGGCAGGGCCGAGCTCCTTCCTCCGGGGAATGATGCTTCCTAACTCTGGTTCTTAGAAGCTTCAGAGTGAGCTTTGGTTTGGCTCTGTGGACACTGAATTTATGGCTGTCTGTCTATTGTTACTCACTGTATAATCCCACACACCCGGATGACGTCAGAGGCCCTGCAAGTGATGCCAATAATACAGTTCTTGCCTCTCCTGGGTTCTGACACTTTGTTATAGCAGCCAGCCTTCCGGGACTCACCAATGGAGATGCAGGTCTCTTACTGCTTAGCCAGTGTGCCTCAGGAATCTCCCCTGTGTCCGTGCCCCAGTGCACACCACGGTGCCTGGCTTGTTTTACGTGAGTCCTGGGGGTCCAATTCAGACACCCCCCCCGGGGGGGTTGCAAGAATTGTATCTACTGAGCCATTTCTCCAGCCCGGTAATTCATCTTTTTGAAAACAACATGGCCCAAATGGACTGTGTCTGTGTACCCGATTTTCAAGCCTTGCACAAGTATGTCCAGATGGAATCATGCAGCAGCGTCAGAGACTTGTGGGTAAATCACAGGCACTTCTCTGAAGGAGCTAGATATTCCTATCTTCAACGTTTCTGAGACACGGCCAGTTCTGGGTACAGGGAATTAGGAAGAAACAGGCAGGGCCTCTGGAGGACTAACCTAAAGCATGGGCTGTGTTCTGTTCAAAGCCTACTCCACCCTATTCGCTCCCTCACAGGGTGAGCCTGGCTGCTCAGTTCTGGGCAGTCGAGCGGGGATCACGAATCTGCAATCTGTGCAGCCCAAGAGAGAAGTCTACAGCACTCTACGGCTCTCCTTCTCAAACTGTCTCAAGAACTTGCTAAAAGTTTTAGCGGATTTCAGTCGTGTGAGGAGAGGATGAGGTAGAGCAGAGTGGAGGAGGACGGCACCTGCTCCTCTCTCGTGGCCTGAATGAAGTAATCTTACTTCGTCGGAGCAACAACCATCTCTGCAATACCAGCAGCTGACAGTGTAGCTATGAAACTTGGAGTCATGAGGAGTCTTGTCCCGAACGCATGTGACACGGCCTCCAGGGCGCTCCACGAAATAACTGAGAGATGCTTTGAGCATTTCAACTCCCTGCATGGTAGATGGGGGGGGGGGATAAAATTCTTTGTGAGTGGGGTACTGATGGAAACTGACCCCTTGGCTCTAGCTACAGGTGATGGAAGCAAATCCTTTAACCAAGAATTAGAAATGATGACACATGTTTGTCTGACGCTTCTGGTAGACAGAATAACCCACGGAGGTTATCAGGAAACCTTCTAACTAACCTTGAGGAGAAAGAAGGTATTGTGTGCCCCGTGATTCCATTATATAGACAAAGCCTCAGATTCCACAAGGTCTCCGGAGATACCTAAGGCCCTACACACAGTAAGACACTCAGCTGGGAAACAAACCCGGAAGAGAGAGAGAGAGAGAGAGAGAGAGAGAGAGAGAAGACCATCTCAGGGAATGACAGCTTGCAACGTTTAAGGAGTCAACTTTCTAGAAGTCTTCCTAGAAAGTTAGGACTTGTGGACATTTCCTAAGACTAGAAATGCTGACACATGAGCAAGAGCATGAAAGAAGAAATGGAAAGCACGCTTCTCTCTTTGGATGACATAACTCATTGGCTTTGGGGAATTAAAAGAAAGGTGAGTTTCAGCTGGGGTTCTCATTCCCTCGAGCACTGAGAAGGAAGGTGGCCTTCGTCTTGGGCTCTGAGCAGTGAGCTCTTTTAATTTTTTTTTATTTGTTTGTTTGTTTGGCTTGGCTTATGGGGTCAGGGGAGACACTCCTCTCTCATTTAGCATTCTAGACCAAAGACGAGCCCAGGGCTCTGACAGCTCCTCTCAATCTGCCTCCTCAGTTCACCTTCTCACCGTACACCACAGACATACCACTTCGTTTAAAAGCCCCCAACCTCACAGGAAAGCAAAAATGAACATCGAGTCCTGAATTAATTTTCTTTCTTAGATATGGCAGTGAGCGGATTCAGAACGGACTTGCGTCTGTCAAACCGTAACAAGAGGAGGCAAGGAAGCCACGAAAGGAGGGTTCTGACGCTTGCATTCCCACACCACAGGCAGCCTCACAAGGCGAGCTAAGCAGCTGGAAGAAGGGTAACCACTCACTCACTTACGTCTGCCTGACACACTGTCTTGCAAGCCCAGGCAACTGAAGAGCCTGCTGTGACTCTGCAGTTTAACCTAGCTCTCTGCTCGCTTGCCAATGAGAGCTCAAGGCTGCCTCCACAATGCCACGGGTGCCTGCGAGCTTTCTTTCAAAAACATCAAGCAAGGGGCTTGGAAGATGGCTTAGCGGTTAAGGGCGCTGACTCCTCTTCCAGAGGGTTCAGATCCCAGCACCCCCGTGGCAGCTCACAACTGTCTGCAACTCCAGGATCTGACAACCTCACGTAGACATACATGCAGGTAAAACACCGCACGTGAAGTACAGATAAATACATTTAAAATAATGTATTTTTATAAAAACATAAAGGAGGCTTTCTTCCCTCCCAGGAAGACAGCAACCATTCATGTGTTCTTCCTACACAGCAAAGGCCACTCCTTTCTGTGTGCGCGTCACCTACCACGGCCCCCTTTGGACGCTCATCTTGATACTTTAATCTTGCTTTGACTCAGAAACCATGGCTTTGTAATCTTCAGGGCAGTGTCCCTCAATCCTTCTTAGAATTCTACATAGAAGCATAGAAGAATGCTTCTATGTAGCATTCTTCCAAGTTGGTTCAACCCCTTATGCTTCTGACCCAGGAAGACTCAGAAGAAATTTCAGGATCCCTTCCTCGCCCCGCCTTCTAAATTCTGTTCTCCTGCCTGAGACCCAGTACCTATTCACATCAGGAAAGGCCATCCGTATCAAAGAACACTATGTCTGACCCTGGGGCTCGTGACCTTAATCCTATCTGCAGAAGAGTCCTCTCTAGTAACTGGGCTCGGCTTATTGTCCCAGAGGTGAGCACGTATGATGTCAGATCTGCCTTCTTCAGTTCCACCCACACCAATGAGCTTTCCTGGGAATGGAGGTCTAGATTAGCTACCGGGTTCTTAACTACACAAAGAGCTTACTCAGCCAATTCAGCTAAACTTTGCAAAGGCCCGCATACCTTTCCCTGATTCCATTCTCCCAGAAGAAGGGAGCAGGCAAGATCTATGGGTCAGATTTGGGTTCGGGTTCCTCTTGTACAACCTGAATTCTCTACAGCTCTTTTCTCATTTGTTTGAGCTGCCTAGCCCACGGAAAGAGCTGGCAGTGCCTAACAGCGGGGAGAACCGTGTATTACAAATTCTCGTTATGAAGCTAGCTGTTCACCAGTGCCCAGGACCCATGAACCTTCTTCCAGGTTAATTTAACACTAATTACGTGCATTCGAATGAAGTGTAAACATTCTCCCAGTACATTCAGTCTCCCCATGTGGCACACCTATGGCTCTAATAGCTCTAGGCTGCGTTTTCAAGATGCTGAGGGGGTCAGAGCAGTGCATGAGTCACTTAGAGATGGGGAGGAGCCCCTTTAGAGAATTGTGAATATGACTAAAATGAGTCCATGTTATTTTACTATCGGGGTATTAACCACCTATAATGAAGGATTGAATTACTGTTAACGCTAATAATTTTAACTAATTATTTGAAATATAGTCATTAATTTACTAGTGGCAATTATTAACTAATTTGACATTATTGAAAAAATAAATTTGTAAAGGACAGAAAGGATTGAGAGGGGAAAAAATAGGAAAAGGAAAAAATGAGATTGTTTGAAAGGAAGATGACCTGTGCGTGTCATTGAGCTTCCAGTTGTGTGGTATATATTACAGAACTGGTGGGCGGGGAGGGGGGAACAGATTTTCTTTTGCCTTTTGTTACCACTTAAGTATGTTTAAGCTTCAAATCCTTCTACCCAATTTTCAAACAATAAACTCTGTCAAGATTTTTGATTAAAAAAAGAGTCCAGTGTTCCTCA